ATGAGGAGGAGCGTGTCGGGAGTCGGCAGCTTCGTTTGATCTGACATTTTGCTTTTTCACTGGCAGCTTCTGCAGTTTGATCGCGATCACACTCGCGACCTTTTTCAGAGCTGTCAAGTGCTTGTCAGCAGCAGCGGGAGGAGGAAGAGGAGGAGGGTTTCCTCTCCTACACCTGCGGCTGACGGAGGTTATAAGATAAGATAAGATAAGATAACCTTTATTAGTCCCACACGTGGGAAATTTGTTATGCATCAGGGCGTGAGGAGAAGCATGAATCACTGTCAGAAATCCCAGAGGAAGCGCGGGAATAATGATATTCTGAACTAGTTCCAGTCTAACGTTGAGCCCGAGGAGGTCGACTCTCCCTCTGCCTCCTGCTCGTGTCCAGATTTCTCCCACTGAATAAAGTATGAGATGCAAACACGGCCACGCGGCGGAAACTGAAACGCTCTAAAGATGATCATTAATCTCAGTCTGAAAAGCAAAAGAAGAATAAAGCTGTTTTTGTTTCGGCGTGCGGGCGGAGGTTCATCTTGAACTCGGTTATGTCGTCGGTTTCTTAGAGGTGCATCTGTGTGTTTCCTGTGTCTGTGAAGTACTTTGTGAGCTTGTGTTTAAAAGTTCTCATTGAGAAAAAAAGGTTGTTTTGAGCTTCAGACCTTTATGTACTTCCTTATTTTATTCCTCCTGTTTCCTGTTCCTCTCATGTTTCTTTTCAGCTTCCTCCTTTGATTCCTTTGTAATCTCCTCCTCTCCTTTCTTATTTCCTCTTCTGTTTTCAGTCTTTTTTTCTTGTTCTATTTCTTCTGTTTCCCAATTGCTTTGCTGTTTCCTCTTTCGTTTCCTGTCTCCTTTCCCATTTTCATCTCCTTGCCAGGTCTTTCGTCTTCTTACACATTTCTGTTCCTTCTCTGGTCTTAGTTTCCTGATTCCTTATCACTGTCCTATCCCTTTCTGTGTTTCCATTCCTATTTCCTCTTCTGCTTCTTCCCCTGTTTCCTCACTAGTCTCCTTTGCCATTCCCTCTCCTGTTTCCTCCTCTGTTTCATCTCTTTTGTCCTCTCTTGTTTCCTTTGCTGTTTCCTTATCCCATTCATTTTTCCTTTTCCTTCTGATTTGTTTCCTGCTTCCTTTCCTTCATTTGTTTTCTGATCCCTTTCCTGTCTGCTCTACTGTTTCATGCAATCTTTACTATATTCCTAATACATCTGCAGTTTCATCTCCTGTCTCCTAAATTAATTTTGTTTGTTTCCTCTGCTATGTCCTGGTTCCTTTCCTGCCTCTGGCTCTTTCACACTCCTCTCCTGTTTATTTCATTTCAACAGTAGTTCTTTGTTTTTTTCTACTTTTTCCTCTTTCCTCTCCTTCCCTCCCCTCCTGACTCCTTTGCTTCCTCTCCTTGTTCAGGTTGTCCGTGTGTGACGAGGACAAGTTGACTCATAATGAGTTAATCGGGGAGTCCCGAGTCCCTCTGAAGCGCGTGAAACCCGACCAGACGAAACATTTCCACACCTGCCTGGAGCATCCACCACCGGTAGGACACACGCACGCGCACACGCTGGAAAAAGACTTTAATAATGAAAATGTTATTACACGTTTCCTAAAAGCTATAAAAAGATACAATTTTGTGACTTTCAGAAACTGTCAAGAATTTTGGATCCCGTTGGGTTTATTTTCAAAAATTGTTCCTCGGTTGACGTTTGTGTTGCAGTCACACTAACAAAAACTGCAGCATGATGATGAACTTGTAGAGCTTTAAGTGTTTGATCTGAAGATGGAGACCCCGTCTGTGGTCACTTCCAATCAGGTCCTGCAGACTGAGTCAGTGTGCAGCTGAGTGGGATCAGGTCCACAGTCACATACACTCTGTGATAACACGGCGATTAACGGTGATAAACTGGGAGACATCGCAAATCTGTTGCCATCTACATACACAAAAACTGATGGCAACGTAACTGCAGGACGACACAGATGCTCAGCTACCTTGGTCACAACCAGAGGATTTAAAGAGATGTTGGTGACAAGTTGCTGTCATCAGCAGACTAACTGCAACATAAACATGGAATTTGTGCAATTGGTCACCCAACGTGAAAAAATTCAGCGTAATGCAATAAAATCACCAGGCAACGAATGACGTCTCCTTGTGACGAGGAGGTTACGGTCCTACTGCACCTTCATGTGATTCACTGTAAAGATGGAATCCAGACTTTAAACAGGTTTTACAAAGAGAAAGAATCTGCTGCAGTTCCACTAACGTCCAGCAGGCTCCAGCAGTGAGTCAGTCCCCATAGACTCCCATGTTCAAACGTTACAGCAGAAAGAAACACGTTTACAGCCTGATACAGACTTCCATCTGCTATATACAGTCTATGATACGATGAAGCATCAAAAGTCATCCTCACGGTTTCCTCTCTCTGCTCTATTCTCGTCTCGCCCTCAGCTTCCCTCTCCGACTGCCATGGGTGAAGCCCTGAGAGGAATTTCCTGCTACTTACGAGAGGTAAAGCTTCAACTTTCCATCTGCCCAGTTTGAAGTGCAGGTCTCACAGCAGACTCAAAGTCATGTGATCACCACAGTCATCAGCTTTGTGAGGTGATCACATGACCAAAGTACTAATGCTAAACACGCTGTGCTGTGCAAACTCTTCATTCTTGTACAGCAGTGGGAGGCGTGCAGTAATGAATTATCACTGAGCATCATCCGGCTGTGCTGTCTGTCTAAAACGAGCGCTCCTGCCTTTTTGAAGTATTTATATGATGTTTTCTAAACGCGTGGCTGCAGATGCCTGTGCTCTGACAGGGAGGGTTTGATCTCTGGAGTTCCTTGTTGGCGTCCTGTGGTGCTGCTGAACACTCATTAGGACCTTACACTGACGCTCGCTCAGCAGAAACTGGTCCTTCTGTGGTGAGCTTAATCAAACGGACTTGTTTGGCGATGATTTTTACACAAACTGGACCTCTCTGCAAAACTCAGCTGAGAGTATGTGTAATGCTTCAATGCTCTGGGTGAGTACAGCGTAAATCAATCAGTTCTTTGATCCCAGCTTTAGGCCCTCTGGGGGGGGCGGGGCCTGTTTCAGTGGAAACTGAAATGACACTGTGCACAGTGTGTTGTGTTCTGGCTTTGATGAGTGGACCTGATCACACAAACTCATGACACATCCAGTTTCACCGTCTGAAGCTACATAGGAGATGTCCAAGTTCATGGGCTGCTTCCTCCTGAGGCCGATTACGTCACGGCGACGCAACGAAGGCTGCCCTAATTCGTAGACTCCTCCAAATGCATCCTCCTTTTCCCCGAATTTGAAGGATGGGTTGGGTGTGTTCTTCGTGGCCCACCATATCCCAGCCAATTCCAGTTTCCAACAATGGCGGCAGCTGCTTAGTTTTAATATTACTCTTATTAATCTTTCTGGGTCACAAAATAAACTTTTAAAATATTTTCTGGTGAGAATGTCGCTGTGTAAACTTCAAATATCTGCTCTGTTTATCAAGACATCACATATTTGCAAAAGTTTATTAAACTCCACCGAGACAGCGGTGACGCAAATCTGAAGGCTCGACCGTCCCATTTCACAGCCGCTCACTTCCGGCCTACCCGACCTTCTGAGGACCCGGCCCACGTAGACCCCGAAGGCCGGGTCCTCAGGAGGATGCAGCCCATGAATTTGGACACGACCGTAGAACAGGTGAGCAGGGCAGGAAGTCAACCACAGGAACAGCAGAGAGAATCATATCAGTTTTCAAAATAAAAGACCCAGGAGTAAAAACAGAAACAGACTCAGAGTGGGTGTAGTTCAGAGGTCAAACCTACAGAAAGGATTTGTTGTTATGGAGCGTATCCCAGCAGTCAAAGCACTGAGACAGGTTCAATCCACAGTCTCAACAGACAAAAGCAGTATCCAGTGGATCTACTTTCTGCTAAAGAAATAGTCCCACCAGTGAGAAATCCCAGTTTAAGCCCAGATTACACCTCATTACTGCTGTTACTGGTTGCACAGCATTATTAGTTAGAGCTGTCGGTGCATCGGATCTCTGAAAGACGACTTCGGCTGTTCCCGTCCTGACGAGACGGTTGTCATGGGGAATAAGTCTCCAGAGCTCGACCTTCCTGAATAAATCCAGCGTGTTGAGTCGAATGTGAGTCATGCTCTGAAACGCTGATAACAGGAGAGGTCGGAGGAATTAATGCTCTAATTAACCCCGTTTCTGTGTTTAGACCAGTGTGTTTCTTGAAGTCGGGGACGCTGCAGAGTGCTGACTCTCTCTAAGCTGTCAGGGCTCCTCGTCTTTATTCATCAGAACCCAGAGAGCTGCGAAGGAAGCATAATCTGCATGATGAGGAGCTGAGCGAGGAAGCTGAGAGAGTGTGTCTCTGTCTTTAAGTGATATTTGCTGTGAAGTGGATTCAAAACATTTATAGAGGAGAGGCTCTTTGGATTCCCCTCCGACATCATCAAGCTCTATGAGAAGCTCCTCAGGAGGAGGCGGTTAAACATTTCCCTGCAGGGCTGTTTTCACATGTTGATGCTAATGAGAGCCGTTTTAATTGATGAGTTTATTTTCAGCAAAATATTAAAATTAGCTAAAAGTTCCCAGATGAAGGGAAAATAAAATCTGAGATATAAAATAGAAACATGAAAGGCTCATCAGAGCAGGCCCTCCTCAAACCCCAAATATTTACCCCTCACTTCCTCCTTTGTCTGAACCTAGCTGTTTAAGCTCCTCCCTCTCTAAGCCAACTTTCCTCTGATTGGCTGGTGCTCACAAACAACAAAACCTTCTGCTACTACAACCACGACCCAAAGTACTGCAGAAACTCACCGCTGGATCCAAAGATTCAAGACAAAAAGATCATTTATCACATTTTACGCACACAAAGCTACAAGCATGCGTTTGGTCTTCCTCGGACGGGAAGTCCAAGGCCTCGAGTAACAACCCAGGCTGTCAGCTGATTGGTTTTTGACTCCTTCGGAGCCCCCGGGGGTTTTGCCGTGTCTCACATTTCGCTGCAGTTCATTTAGATTCAGCTCCACCTCATTCAGTCTCCCTAAAATAAATTGCCTGCCAATTTCTTTTGAAAACAGGCAACTGCAAACTCGGTGTTCTCCACATCCTGCAGTGTACTGCAGACCTCGTTTTGGAGGAAGCAAATTCAAAGGCTGCTCCAAATGTTCGGATTATATCAGGAGCGAGTGTGGAAATGTAAAGTAACAGCTCCACGGGTGTGAAAACAAAACAAACCCAGGCTCTATCGATCTGTCTCCACCCGTCCTCTCAAAGTGCACGTCCAACCAAATCAACAGAAACAAAGTGCAGCGTGGCAGTAAGTTCAGTTTGAACAGTAAAAGGTGAAAGGTCGCCGTGTTAAGATCGTGGAGGCTACACATGTGGTTCACAGTCTACACCACACCTGGCGGCTCATTACCTGGACGGTGTCCCGTAATTAAAAAAACAAAAAACAGATGGTGAGAAACAAACAGCGCAGTTAGGACATCCAGGATCTGTGGGACGGGATGACCTGAGTTTGAGTAACCTGCAGGTCGCTGTTATCAGACCATGTGTGGCCGATTCGAGCTTGCGGACTTCACAGTGCACCTGCAGTGCAGTCTGATCATTAATGAACAGCTGTTAATTAGACTTTTCCCTGATCGTACCTGTGGGATCTCCGTAATGATGGAAATCAGTGTGTGACCGCGAGACGGGTCACATGATCACACAGCAGGTGAGCCTCTGCGATCCAGGTGTTGTCCAAGTGTTTTTCAGAGGACGAGCCCGGAGATGTTCTGGGTGTGTTGTTCTGAAGATATGAAGCACGAGTCGGCGAGAGGACACTGGGAGTCAATCAACACATCTACAGAAATAATGAGGACAACTGAGCTGCAGCTTTAACGCCATTAAAATACAAAACACAGCAGCTGGGCTGAGAGTCTTAACGATCGCTGTCACAGGAAGTGATTCACAGCAAGGCGGGACCACAGGAAGTCGACCACACTGAGCAACTTCAAGCAACGACCGCAGAAATTAGCGATCTGTACTGGGAGGATGCAGTTGGTTGTCATATGACAGGGAGGTAAATTAATTAGATTGTTACCAAGGGAACCAAGAGCATGAAATGTCGACAAAGCACCAAGCGACTGACGAATCGCTTCCTGTTGGACGCCAGGGCTCGGAGTGATGAGCCAGTGGAGGATGGGGCGCACCCTTGTGGTGAGGCTGATGATTTTCCAGTCGATCGACGTTCCTACACTCACGTTTGGGCCGGAGCGCTGGGTCGTGAGAGAACAACAGGGCTGCATCTGCCATAGCTTCTGTCCGTGGGGGGGCGCAGACATCTGGAGGAGAGCCTCCTTTGTGTTGCTGAGTGGATCAGGATGCTTCGCCTTGGAGGTTTTTCCAGCTGGGAGGAAAATTGCTGAACATGGAGACACAAAGCATCTTTACGGTGAAATAGTCACAAAGCTGATTATCAGACATTAAATTTTGGTGGTAGTGAGCATGAATACATAAATAAAGGAAAAGGAAAGGAAGTATGTTTCATGCCCTGAGGAAGCTGGGAGACGTTCATAGTTAATAACACTAAACCATAAGTGTTGTTGCCATTGCGCTTCTTTGATGAAAAATCTAGGTTGTTTTATCAGGCTTATATTATATTATTTTGGTGAGTGTATGTGATGTGTTGGTTGTCTGTTTGTTTGTTTGTACGGACAAACTGCAAATCAATTTCCTGTTAGGGACAATAAAGTTACCATTGACCATTGACCATTGGTCACCATGGCAACCATGAAAGAAAACATCTAAAAGATGTTTTTGCAAACGTAACTCAGTTCAGTTCAACTTTATAAAGTATTAGTAGTGTAAGGTAATGTGTATGTGACCAAGTATGTGACCAAGTGGTTGGCGGGGTTACACAAAAAATAATAAAATGACAACGCCACCTATGGGAATTTCACCCCCAGGAAATATATATTTAAGAAAAATAGATAAAAGCAAATAAAAGAGGCCGCACAGATTCAAGGATGCACACCGAGGCAGGTTGGAAAAAATAAAGAGTAAAATATTAGGAAAAAGAAATGTAGTGTTGTAGTTTACAGTGTCCTAAAGTTACAATAAAACAATCGTGGAACTGGGACTTACCAGTGGACCCAAAAGAAAATCACTACAGCTGGCACCCAGTGCTGTAGAAAAGTGTGCAAACGACCCGACAATCAGACAACCTGTGAGCACTTGGCAAGAGTGGGAAGGAAAAACTCCCTGTTAATAATTTAACCCAGCAGTTATGATGCCTAACGTTAACCCAGCCACGTATTTTAAATGAATGAAGAATTAAAAAGGGAAGGTCTGTGACAGCACCTCTAACCTCCAAATATGGACATTTTTTGTTTTCTGAACGTGGAAAATATTAAATTATTAATATTTAAACTTGTGATTATTTCATGAAGTGTGTGTTGTACGTCAGGCACAGGAAATCCTCAGGGTCCTCCGGGGGAAGTGGAAAGT